TTTTCAATCGATAATAATTCATTGATAAGTTTTTTCAGTTTTAATGAATCTTCTTTATTTGCCTTCTGTTTTTTACCAGTAGCCTTATTAGTAGATGTAGGATCCCCAACATGCTTGGATGGTAAAGTACTTGTAGTAGATGTAGTAGGTAACAATATATATATATTGTTACCTACTTATGTTAGACTGTTACCTACCTATGTGGCCTAATTTGATTTTTTGGCCCCCTTCGAAAGCGGCCAATTTTTGTTTTTTGGCCACCTTCGAGAGCGGCCATTTTTCATTTTTAGGCCGCATTTTTGTCTTATTTTAGTTCGATTTTTTATTTACACATCAGATAACGTCTACAGACGTTATAGACTGCTTAATTATCTAACTATCTTTTTTAGCCATTTTATTGTCTTCAAAGCTTAAAAAGCTATGCGATCTAAAATATCTAACCAAAATGCGGCCAATTTTTAATTTTTGGCCACCCAGATGGAATCGTGAAATCGGCTACATTTGAGTGCGGCCATTTTTTATTTTTTGGCCGCCTAGATGGGATCGTGAAATTGGCTACATTCGAGTGCGGTGTATTTTGCGTTTTTGGCCGCATTTATATAATCATTTAGGTATTAAATCGGATGTTAAATCTGATATTTAATCGGACGGTAAAAAAATATGTATTCATACCCCGCATTCAGGTTCCAATATGTAACAAACGTGTCAATCATGAACCATGGTTTGCGATCAACTTTATGTAGCACTTTAAGAAAAGCAATCTCGAAGATGGGATATGACTCGATTTCGTCGTCATAAAATAGACTATTTTGTGGTCAATGATGCATTGATCGTATTCTACATTTTCAGACTCCGCCATGTAGCATTCGCGTCCATCGTCAACACGTGTTGACGGTCATCTATAAGTATCACTCCAGGAAAATACTTATTTTGGCTTTTATGATGAATTCGATTGCTACATTGTGGAGTCTGATTTTTATGTATACTTTTAGTGATCGTTATGAACGTCAATAACGATGGACTTTTTGAGTATCATTTTTCCATGTCAAAAAATTGATTAAAAAACTAAAATTCTAGATGCATTCGAATACCAATCGAGGATGAGGCAAAAAGTGCCGAATTGTTATCTCACTTGGTAGTACGCCAAAGCATAATTTCTATAATATATATTTCTATAATAATTATACCTTGACGTACTACCGATTCGAAAATTTTATTCTTACTTTGGCGTACTACCGAATCAAAAAATTCCTGTAAAAAATCGGATCATACTTTGGCGTACTACTGAATCAAAAAATTGGATCATACTTTTACGTATTACTTTGGATCATACTTTTGCGTAATAATTTTCGATTTGAATTTTTTCAAGCTAGGACGGATTTTTATAAATGTTCGGAAATATAGTCTACTCGGGCTCTTTTACCTCGGGTCCACTTTGGGAGAGCTTTTCAAGCTCTTTCCGGTAGTATTCCACTATTCTTCGATGTTTAGCATGTAAAATACATAACTTATATTTAGATCCAGTTAGCCTACCACACTCTTCGCAAGGTACAGGTCTAGGAGAATCCCAATGATCTTCACAACCCTCTGGACAATAACTTCCCCAGTTACATTCCTCACCAGTTCGAAGGATATAACAACAACGATAAAATCCCATATTTCGCTTTGTTAAATCTGAATTATCTGGAATTTCTATATTTTCTTGTTCCTCTTCACTTTCTTGCGAGCCAAATAAACCTCCATCATCGCTGCTTCCTTGTCTTTTTCCAATTAATTTTACATTTATCATCGCTAATATTTTAAATTAAAGCTATTATTCAATTCTAATTTTAATAGCGCATTTAAAAAATGGATCATCGAAAATTTTTTACTTTGGTATATCGGATCAAAAAATTGGATCATACTTTTACGTACCACCGATTCGAAATTTTATTCTTACTTTTGTGTACTACTGAAAAATTCGATCATACTTTGACGTATTACCTTGGCGTATTATGTGTTGAGTCGAATACCTTTGCATATATCAATAAATATATCGCCTACCTGAAATTTTACTTCGATCAGAACCATTTTCGGATTTGGACTTCGTAGATTTTTCTTTATTCCAAATAATAAGCTTATGCACAAACCGTATAATTAGTATTGCTATTATTATAAGAATAACAAGCTTAACAATGGGAGGGATTCGATACTTATCATTAACCAAGGTTTCACATACCCCTAATGCCCCAATAGGTAATATCTCGGCCATTTTTGTTTTAGTCACATAACTTTGATCATTTCCAATGAAATCAGTTTTAGAGATGGCTTCTTCCGAAAAATCTTTAGTCTCTACTATTTGTGAAATATCAGCGTTACTGGTAGAAGACTTCATATTAATTGATCTCGAAGAATCGAGTATTTGAGGCTTTGTCTCATCGTTAGCCTTATTTATGGTATCACTGGATTGAGGTATGTCGATTTCTTCTGTCTGGTCCATACTTTTTTTGCGTAAATATTTACTAATATTTATTATAGGTTTATTAACTGCAAAGATATCATCTGTCTCACCACCGATCTTGATTGCTTCTGATGATAACTTGGATTCTAAAGAATGTATTACCGACTCTTTTGACACCAGTTCAACCTCCAATTTAGATAATTTAGTCTTGAGGTTCTCAAACTCGGATTCTTTTGTGGACAGTAGACCCTCCACATCAGATAATTTGGTCTTGAGAGTCTCAATCTTGGATACTTTCAGAGACGAGTTTTCTTGGGCCGATTCCAACTTCTTTTTTAGTGACTTTATCGTAGATTTGAGCGATGTTACTTCTTTCAATTTTATCTGTAATTTGTTGCTATAATCGATAAGAGATTCCTGATTGCGACCATCCCGAGATATAAGTGTAATATTTTCTATCTTTAATCGTTTAGCTTCATTAATAATTTCCAGATTGTGAGCACGCTGTTTCTGATTTTCGTCATTGACTAGCTTTATACCACAACCCCACTGTTTTTTTTCCTTATCCCATTGCTTTCTTTCCTGATTAAAGTCCTTCGTCTGTTTTACGCATTTACTTTGCAATTGTTCATTGCAGTCATTTAACTCGGATATATACCTTATGGTGAGATCTAGAGATTTCTCAAGTTCTTGTTCACGTATACTGCCAAGCCGATGTCCTTTTGAGTTGATATCTTGCAATGTGCGTACATTGGCCATATGGTTTTTTCATATATATGAAAAAAAAAAATCAATACCGATATCTGAAAATATTAATAATAGATTTATGTTTAAACATAGCGAGATATGATGAAATATAAATGGAACATATGAAAACATTTCGGAACATTTCGAAACTTTTCTGTATGTGTCACAATGTATAAAGTGCAAGAGATAAATATTTTGAAACATTTCGAAACTTTTCTGTATGCGTCATAATGTATTTTGAAAGATAAATATTTTGAAACATTTTGAAACATTTCGAAACATTTCTTTATTTTTTAGCATTTTATACAAGCTTCGCTAAAATACTTCATTATGGGACGCATCCATAAAGAATACTATAGTGCAAATGCAAGATATCTATCCGATGAGGCAATCCAAGAGATTAAAGAGTCGATGGGTAAGGTACCTGATGCCGTAAATGTAATGGCAAGTAAATATCAAATAAATTACTATCGCGTCCTAGATTATATGGAAAATCGTGAACGCAAACAGCAAATGATATATCCCCGATCAACTCGGACACGAAATGCCATTTCTCCTGAAATAGTATCTATGCCTGAAAATAAATACTTGTCAAATACCGCTTTTCATCTTGAATCCCAGCATCAAAATAATATCTCAGATGGGCAGATAAAAAAAAGGAGATCAAAATCCAAATCCGTTCGCGTATCTGATCCGCCTTCTGATAGTAAAAATTTGACAGAAAAAATAGGCGGTAACTCACAAAGTTCGGTTGTTTCTACTACAGACGTAATTACTCGCCTTGAACAAGAAATAAAAAGAAAAGATAAGAACTTATCCATTAATGCACGTTTACTTTCTACTGCCTAATCCATCTTTTCTTTATTCGTAACAGACTCGAGGAGCTTTTCATACTTTGTTTGTAGAATCTCATTGCGATCATTAAGTTCAGTAATTCCTTTGAGAACGTCGTATAATATTTTTTCGAGTTCCTCATAACTCATACGTTTTTTTTTAACTCAGTATTTGGCTCTTCGGAAATAGAAGGAATTGCGTTGACGTGATGAACCTCGATTTTGTTTTCAACCTTGTGCATCGTAACTGGAATGTAAAAATCTTTCCCATTACAATGAAGCTTCATTTCGGATTTAGGCCAATTCATTATACATTCATGTTTTTCAAGGAAGGGATTACTCAATATAAC